TTTTAACAATGGTTTTTAGCCTACACTGTACATTTAGTTACTTAAAACTTATCAGTGAAATATTGAAAATTTTAATCTAATTCTATGATGCTTGTAAACTCTGTTTATCAATTTCTTGCTATACTTGACCCCTTTGGCTTCTGGCTCTTTTCCTTATCTTAAAAATGCTTAATAAAGAATATCATAATTAAATAAAGAGGCTGAAGCTGAAGGGAAAACCAAAGCAGGAAGCTCCCCCCCCCCCAGTGACCCAAACAACATATACAGAAAGAAATTAAACTCATGCAGATTTCATTGCCAGTTCATCCAAGCACTCTTAAACAGATGAATTAAATGTGTGGGAGTGATAAGGGACAACTCAGCAGCTGAGATCTCTGCTCCCAGAAATTCCTACACTTTCATCCAAAGCAGAACTTTGACATTCCAAAGAGAACAGATGTCTTCAGGGACTAACATTGCTGGTTATACCTACATGAAATAATGGCAACTAGTTAGCAATTTTTTTCCCTTGGCTTATTTTCCTTTCCTCCGGATGCTCCTCCAAAATAAATTTGCATGCTTTAAAAACTGAAGAAGAATCACTTCTGAGACAGCCAACAATATTAGAATTGTTAAATTTATTTATTTTGTTTATTTATTTATTTATTTATTTTAGATAATTTATATAGCAAACAGCGTCTCTAGGCGGCTTACAGAGTTGTAGGTCTGCTTATGCTAAATAGTTGCAAACAGTTATTTCTATTAACAACAAGAGGTATTTTTGCAATATATTCATGTTACTTGAGTTTCTGCTGACAGAAATATAAGTTAATATTTTGAGAATGAAAGAAATTGAGAATTCAAGTCACATGCACTAAAAGGTTCAAACAGAACAGAGTACAGGAATGGGAACATGAAAGCAATTCGTTGGACTCTAATCATGAGCTAAACTAAGTAACCCCCAGAGAGATAATTATTCTAAAATGAAAGAATTATTTGAGCTTTCTCAACAAAAAAAAAAAATATGGCTCAGCTAATGATCATAAGACTCCTCTCAGGTGCAATTGGATCAAAAAAGATATATTTTATTTATGTAAATACGTGTATGAATCTTTGTATTTTTAGTTCTCCTGCTTTGGGGGCAGACTTGGAAATAACCTTCTACACTGCCAGTCACCATCAATGAGAACTGCCACCAGGTGTGAACTGACATAGACAAATTGATCTTCTGTCTCCTCTGAGCAGGGTTTACATGGATGGTTGGAAAATTAAAATTGTATCTTCTGTGAAAGGCCAGCACGATAGCACAAAACCTGGCTTTTAAAAGTTTCATCATAATTATCACAAAGAGATATCACTTAGTGTACATAATTAAAAATGCCTACACTTTATTTTTCTTGGCACACTCCTGTTTTTCTTTTTTTTAAAAAAAGTACTACTGCTGCGTTTTTTTTAAAAGAAATTGTGCTGATCCTATCAGCATTAAAGTTTTTTTAAGTCATAAGAAGTTTACTCTTCAGCTCTCAAACATCCAGTACTGTGAATAATAATTGTTGTTGCCCACTACAAATACAGTTAATTGAGCAAATGTATCTTAGAAGATATTAATATACTGTATGTTTGTGTTTTAACTGGGTTTTGTGATTTAATCTCTTATTAGTTGCAATGTTGTATTATGTGTCAAGTGAAACATGACAAGTTGTCTAAGTGTTTGAATAGGTACGTTACTAGATGAGCAACAAAGCCTATTTAATATTTTTGTAGTTAGAAAAATAGGTCATATTTCTACTTTACCAGAGAGAATTTTGTATCTTGAAATGTGACTAGGAAAAGAGATAAAGGCTTTGTTTTCAAAGTTCCTGGCAACTAGCCTCAGGTTGCTACAGAAACAGAATGTTGCTTTGGGGGAAATAATATCAGTACTATGTCTTAAATTTCTGCATTCAAATCCTTCCCTCTATTTCCCCTACTTAACTAATATTATAAATAAAAGGCAATTCCTCACAAGGCAATACTAGTGTAAAAGAGCTATGGTAAACTATTAACTGATATAATTCATCAGCTAGAATTTTAACTCAGTTAATCGGCAAGCAAAATTTTATGTAACTTTCATAAAACCAACTCCATTCCATGTGTGTCAAATTTGGCACTGTCCATTTTTTGTATATAATGAGCAAATTAATCAAAAAGAAAAGCTCTTTCCAACTCAATGGACATTGACCTTTTTCCTTAGGAATTCCACCATACAGTGGAATCAATTTTAATTAAATCAGAAAGATTATGCATATCCTATGGGAGGTTTAAATCTATTGGCATTGACTCTTCAGCACTTAATAACCTAATAACCATAAAACAGGGCCGCGGGCTGGATGTATCATAATGAAACCGCGCCCACCCCATTGCTGGCAATGGGAAAAAAGTCACGACTCATCACATGACATTGCGAGTTTGACACCCCTGCCATAAACGAACAGTGGGAACAGATAGTTAAGACTTTACTCTGTGTCTATCTCTGTCTGCTCTTTGTCTATGAGACTGCTAATCTGAGGTCATTTTCTTCTGCCTTTCTTCCCTGACATATACACATGAAACATATTGTCATTGACTCTTCTCCTAGTAGGCTGTTACAAGAATAGATGCAATTTAGAGGTAGCACTCCATTATATTCATAGATTGTTTCCAAGATGTGTGGTTCCATTTAGGGAGGTGTCTTTAAGCATGCTTTTTTTGCTGCTTCATGAAATTATTTTAAAGGATTTAGCATAGAACATCTGAAATCATCATAGCACTGGAGCAGAAATACTATGCAATGAAATGTCAGAATGGCAAAAGGATTACAGAGAACCCAAGGTCAAGAATAGCGAACAGGGAGAAATTATTTAAGAGTGATGGGTCTTTAGAGAGACAGTTTGCTACAAGCTCCACTGGGGAGAGAGGAGGAATTGATGCAAATGGTAAATTCTGCAGCAAATTTTTACAAATCCCTATTATTATGACTGTTGTTATTATTAAATATATACTCTGCTTCTCTTATTTGTGTGCTCATGATGGCTTAGAGCAATAAAACAAAAACATAAAATGCAACAGTAAAATCAATACAATGAAAATATTTAAAATACAACTAAAATAGAACAACAGTACGCAAGTGCCCTCTCCTACATACCAGATGGCTGAACTGTGGAAAAGCTGTTGATCAAAGAAAATGGGAGGTTCATAGCAATAAAAGCAATCCCCTAGTGGTCAGACTATAAGCCTTTTAGGGTTTTAAAGGGCAGTGCTGAGCCTTTCCTATTCAGGAAGAGTCAGATTTGTCATATTTATAGATGTATGATGTGTTCCTTGACACCCCCTCCAAATACAGCTGTGGGGATTGGGGAGTGAAGTAGTATGCCCAAATTGAAAAATGTTATTTTGGGGGTAGCTCCATATCAAATAGATTTCACTTCTATTCTCAAATCTCATTTTCTCTTTACCAAAGAGAAAGCCCCTCATCCAATCCATTATCAAAATTAAGCAATGTTCAAGGTTGTTCCTTGGAGTTAGATGGTAGGAGGCATCTATAGGAGGTTTTATCAGTATACCACTCTTCCCTGTGGTCTGCCCGAAAACTACAATCCAAATTGAGGTGAATATGCTTGAGGTTGTCTATGGAGAATGATAAAAAATGCTCACAGAGTGCTTTGAAATTTTCTGACTCCATTTTCCCAACATCTCAGTAGAGGTGTTATATAGAAAGTAATGCTAAAACAAAGAAAGTGTCTGGGATTCATTCAGTTTATCTTGCATCCTCCATGTTCAAACTCCAAGACAGCCCATTTGTTGGGGAGATGACTTCATAACAGAGCTGCTCTTTGCTGCCTGCCCATTGGTATAGCAGGGAATAGGATCATCTGGCAGTAAAGTAATGTTTTCTATGGAAAAAAACAGGAAAACCTCCCATGGAAACATAGGATCTGGTATAGATGAGTTGCCTTGCATAGGATTGGTACCCTGCTGGGCTTTTAGTCTCTTGCAGTCTCCCCTCTCATTTGGCTATGGGATAGCTAAAGAAAGGAGAATCCTAACTATTATAATGGGGGGGGGGATTTAATGGGCTGCTGGGAATATTTATTTAATGACCATAAGGTCACTATTCCAATTGGAAAAACATCTGTGAACAGTTCAGAGCAGCCTCCATGAGCAGGAGTTGAAAGAAAGAAAGCTGATTTAGCAACTCATTCACAATTGTAATTAGGAAGCCATCCCCAATTAGTCCCCATTTGGAATGGCCGTATGGCAACTGAATAGTTGAGACAGAAGAGGGGAAGGTAGTTATTCAAGCAGGGCCCCACTAGCCAACAGGCAGAAAACTCTGAAGAACCCAGAGTATTCCTATGCCTGGTTCCTTCTTCCTTATTTGCTGTATAGCATGTTGCTGTCCCCAGCAGCAGCACTAGCTACTCCTATGTTACAGCAACCATCCTACTGGCTTTCTTCTGGCAGCACAATAGAGTGTATGTTGTGGGGGCAAGAGATTTCAAGGACAAAAGAAAAACACATTAATGGGATCGCGTGGATGAGCTCATAGTGTTAACTGCCTAGGCATCTTTTGTGTTGTACACAATGGCTACTAACGTATAAGATGAGAAATTCTCAGGTTCATTCAGAAAATCATCCAGATTTATCAGACATCTTGATTAGACTATCTTGATTAGTCCTCCACTCCTGCTGAGGTTTATAGCAATTAGCAGCCTAAAACTGACCAGAGTTATTACAAAGAACACTTTCATCACATCCAGCCAACCAGATTACCAAACTCAGCATGTGGCCTCTATGAGGCCAGATACCAATTAAGACAAATCAATGGGTCATCATGGCAAGCATGACATTCTAAGTTACACTTGGTTGGTCAGCCTCCCTATGGACACTGAAGAATCCTAGCACTTGGAGGGTTATGGTTTCATCTCTTTGTTTCTACTTCAATAATTAGGAAAAAACACTTAGGTTTGAAGCAGCAAATTTCAGCCTGATCCCCCCAATTGCTTCTAGCTTCATTGTTTCTTCCTGACAGGAAATTCAGGCAGCTTTTGCACAAACTCTTTAAAAACAAGGTTCCACTAACCTATTAAACAGAAAGAGGATGAAAAAATTGCCAAACGTTCTGCATAGAGAGGGAGAAAAAAATCTTGGATTATTTATAACACCAAGCTCTTTAAGGTCTCTTCACTCTGTCTGCAAACTGCCTGCTGCTTAGAGGCCACTCCAATATTTGATCAAGAGTCTGGGCGGGCACCAAGCTTGGCAAATTGCAACTTGCACACACATGGTTTTTAGTACCCAGGAGGATCACACAGTCAAACACTGAAGCTCTGAAAAAAGGAGTTTCTTGGTATAGGTAAGTTGATTTTTGAACCACATATTTTGTAAATTAATAAGCAATTCTTGGTAGGCTGTACCAGAAGAATAGTTCTGGTTTCTTGTCATGAACTGGTAAAATATTAATCTTGGTGGCCAGCACAGAAATAAAATATGAATTGTATATTGAAATGGTGCAAATGTTTTAGCTTAAGCGAGACTTTTTCACTTTGCTAATAATGGTGAGGTTTGGAGGAGGGGTGTCCATAATTTGCAAATTCTTGACAATAAGGAATGACATGAAATAAACTCCCAATACTGCCAGACTCCCTATTCAGTCTTCTTCCACTGGATGCTCAAGTAACTTCAGCTGCATTGTTACTGTAACCATCTGCCTCAGATTATTGATGCAGGTAATCAAACTATGGGGAGGAATTAACAGTAAGTACTGAGTTATGACTAGAAATGATCAGGACATCTCAGACAAGGAATCGGAATTTCAGTTCAGAACAAATAACTAAAATATGTTCCTTTAATCAGTATGATATAAATCCAAGAGCTAATGGAACTGGATTGTAGAAGGACACCTATAAGCAGATGGTAATGCAATTTCCACAAATGTGGGTTTGGAAGGACAACTTCTGTGTGAGAGAATTCTGCCAGGATTAATAGAGTAGAGAAGAACCCTTTCTTAATATTGTTTTGAGGAGAGGCAGTCAATGTGTAGAATGTTTTCTTGAGCCAAGTGAAATGTCACAAAATAGTATGCAAATGTTCAAGTACTTTAATGCTCTTCATCAGGCTAGGCAGTAAAAAAAGAAAAACTGGAGAAGAACAAAGATTAATGATAAAGGATGCCATCTGCATTGACCAGCACTTTTTAATTGGAATGTTGAAAGAGATGTGACTTAAAGAATATGGAATTCAGCAGCAGAGTCCCATTGCGAATGAAAAATATTTTATGTCACTGAAAGAAAGGAGATGGTTCCTAAGAATAGCTACCTTCCAATTGCTAGGTACTAATCTTTAAGTAGTAGTTCTCTGATACTTGCACACTCACACTGAAGAAATTCAACAAAAATTCAGACTGCACCAAAGATAATTTTAGGTACAGCTAAAATGGTCAAATCAGAGCATTTAGGTAAAGCCTAAAGCCAATGCTGGGTAATTATTTCCACCTCCCATCTCATGATGAAATGGCTTGAACACCAACTCACTGGTTGTCTCCTTCATGTGATTACCTTGTAGCTTGACCAAGAGTTATGAGGATTCGGAAGCTTGCATATAATTTTAATATTTGAATTGGCATTAAAAAGATTTCCATAAAATGGATTTGAGTGTATTTCCTAATGGCCAACACAGCAACCTTTATACTTTATTTTTCAATGTGGACAGTAGTGGCACAAGTCCATTTTCCAAGCGAGGAGAGGAATGTCTTGTTTTTTTGGGCAAAGTGACACTGGAATGGTATGAGAAGTGGCATTTACTGAAAAGCTGTTTGCACACCAAATATCTCTACAGCATATAGTCTAAACAACCTATGTAATTCCTTAGCTATAGTTGTAAGAGCTTGTTGTATGTGCAAGCAGAATCTATTCAGTATTAGTAGGAATCAGTGTAAAACAGCTGCTTAATAGTTACTAAGAAGCTGAATAAAAAGCAGACATAATATGTCTGAGTAGCATTTTTTTGTGAAATTATATTTCTCTCCAAAGAATATTATTCCTTTGCCTCTTAGGCAAGGCAGCTATTGTAATTGTGAGCATATAGTTGTGAACTCCTTGATGGGCAGTGTACACATACTGGCAATAAATACAATAATAACCACATGAACTACAGCTGCATAATTTTTGTGATACTTATTTGGCTAGAGCCTCTGATTTTTAGAGATAGGAGCAAAACTTTCTGGTTCCAATTTGTGGACCTTGTAAAAAGAAGTTCTATGTGTTCTTCTTTTTACTACCACTTCCTATTCTAATTTTTCATTTTTTTAAAAGTCAAGTGTGGTACGCCCATTCTTCCTACAGACTTATTTGATCATATAGTGGGGGGACAGGCACTCTGATGTCTTTAAATAGTTTGGGTACCACATCAACAATCCTTTGCCTTGGTCCTGGTGGCTGGCAGTGCTTATGTAGAAAACATCACACACATTTCCTCCTCTCTATGAATAGTAGCCATTCTTTGATCAAGGAGAAGACAATCACTAAGATACATGCATCCCATATTTCTCCCTATATAAATCATGAAAACCTAGTCTGATTCAACTCATAACCAAGCCTGAACCCCGAAGAGAATGGTTCTAGTATCTGTTTCTTCTAAGAACTTCTATTGCTATGCAGATACAACTGCTCTCCCTAGTACCTTCCCTAAATGATTAAAAATCCAGACTAGATTTCTTGAGCAGCAGTTGCAATACTGCCTCCTTTAAGACATCCATCAATTGTCCCTTCCACAAATTATATCTTCCACACTGGGCTCATCCAGTCAACCATCTTTAACTAAAACAAGTCAATCATGACGGGACAGAGATTGAATACCAAATGAAAACCAATTGAATACCAAATGAATACCAATTGAAAACCAAATGCACAGCTACAATATAGGTTAGGCATGTCAAACTCGTGATGTCACATGACGTCAGGCGACATATTGCCAGCATTTCCCCCATTGCCAGCAATGGGGTGGGTACAGTTTCGGCATGATGCATCCGGCCCACGGGCTGGCAGTTTGACATGCCTGGTATAGATGATACCTTGATCAATAGTAGCAACTGTGAGAGGGATCTTGGAGTCCTAGTGGACAATCACTTAAATATGATCCAACAGTGTGCTGCAGCTGCCAAAAAAGCCAAAACAGTGCTAGGCTGCATTAACAGACAGAAAGAATCAAGATCATGTGAAGTGATAATACCACTTGATAATGCCTTGGTAAGACCACACTTGGAATACTGCATCCAGTTTTGGTCACCATGATGTAAAAAAGATGTTGAGACTCTAGAAAGAGTACAGAGAAGAGCAACAAAGATGATTAAGGGGCTGGAGGCTAAAATATATAAAGAACGGTTGCTGGAATTGGGTATGTTTAGTTTAATGAACAGAAGGACTAGGGGTGACATAATAGCAGTGTTCCAATATCTCAAGTGTTGCCACAAAGAAGCTATTGTCAAAGCATCTGAAGGCAGGAAAGAAGCAATGGATGGAAACTAATTAAGGAGAGAAGCAAACTAGAACTAAGGATAAATTTCCTGATAGAAAATTAATCAGTGGAACAACTTGCCTCCAGATATTGTGAATGCTCCAACACTGGAAGTTTTTAAAAAAAGATTGGACAACTATTTGTCTGAAATGGTATAGGGTTTCCTGCCTGAGCAGGGATTGGATTAGATGACCTCCAAGGTCCCTTCCAACTCTGTTATTCTGTTATATACATATCTAGCTTCATGCATTTTGTCCATATTCTTGGGCCCCCAATGCTATAAATCATTCCATAAAAGTAGATTAGGCAGTACATTGGACTTCCTTTGAACCTATATGTTCTGTGGCATCCAGGTCACCACTGAGATGAATAATTTTATCTCTAAAGTGCCTTGCAAATGAGCACAGCAAGCACATATAGGATCCAGTGTTCATTTGGCAGGATTTATGTTAAATGTCCCTGGACCAGATGTGAAAAGCTATAGCTGGATGCTACAAGATGAAGTGTTGGCAGTGAAGAAAATCTTTTTTGACTTTTTTTACAATATGCTCCCTCATTCATATTCTGTTGTCTTTGAACTGAATTTTTGCCACCTGTGCTCAAAATGTTTATGTTTTGGAATATACTAATTATTCCTTTTGGGAGAATTCTCATCCAAGATTTTCCATCTAGCCTAACATGAGAAACTAATAGAAGAGGATTCAATCTCTCATTCTTTAAACAATAATGAGAAACTGAGGGGGAAATAGCAACATCATCTTTCTGTGCAGGATTCAAAAGAAAAAAAATTAAACGGCCATAAATTTCTACTCCTGGCAAGCCACAGAATTGTATGTCAACATAAGAATGTTAGGAAAATATGGAATCCATTCTGGAAGGCTTTATGGATAAAGTTATGCAGCATTACTCAGAGTTGGGAATATACTATAGCTTTTTCATACATAAGAATGAAAATTGCTTCTCCTGCGATTACTGTAATATGCATGAAATGAAACCTGTTGGCTGGAATGGTCATTCACATTACACGTGCTCTGCTTCTACTTTGTCACAGGAACAATTTTTTGCATAATTTGCAGGACTGATGCCCTCTACCCAAGTTAGTGTATTAAATCATATATACAGTATATGTACTACAATTGTTGTTATTGTTAGTTGCGAAGTCGTGTCTGACCCATTGCGACCCCGTGGACAATGTTCCTCCAGGTCTTCCTGTCCCTTACCATCTTCTGGAATCCATTTAAGCTCACACCTACTGCTTCAGTGACTCCATCCAGCCACTTCATTCTCTATCGTCCCATTCTTCTATTGCCCTCAATCTTTCCCAGCATTAGGTTCTTCTCCTTCCTTCTCATTAGGTGGCCAAAGTATTTGAGTTTCAACTTCAGTATCTGGCCTTCTAAAGAGCAGTCAGGGTTGATCTCCTCTAGGACTGACCGCTTTGATCACCTTGCAGTCCAGGGGACTCGCAGGAGTCTTTTCCAGCACCATATACTACAATAGGAGTTTGTAAAGTTTTTGAAGGCATACTGTGGTTTCTCTCACAAAATAGTTGTGGTGAGATTGCTATCTATGATGCAGGATATCTACAGGGGAGTCAACAATATCAAAATCGCAGATGTGACAGAGCAATTGAAGCACACACACATTAAAAAGGACCTGTTATTTTGACACCATTGATCTACACAGAGAGGGGGGGAGGGAGAGAGAGAGAGAGAGAGAGAGAGAGAGAGACAGAGAGAGTGACCACCTGAAACCAATCAGAATGGTCTATCTATATCATCCATCTTTCATCCATCCTTTGAATCCATGAGCACAACTGAAATGTTTGGTATGCTTTAGGTG